AACTTTGTGAAAAACTTAGTAGATAACTGCAGGTCTCTGATGTGCCACTTGCACTCATTCTGTTCAGGGAAGCTCTGAAAAGATTTATTGTCATTTAAGGAAGCAATTCTCACTCTTGTGAATTGTTTTATATACTGTACTTATGAAATGCAGTGTAAGCCAGAGATAGTTGTTGGCTGAACAACTGATGCAGACTAAAACTAATGTGACCAAGGTAAAGTTAGTGAACCCCCCCAAAAATTCCTGATCCAATTCATCACACAGCTGCACAAACACTAGAGCTAGCGCAGTGGAGGGGAGGAAGCACAATGATGCAAGCTAGTTCCAGTGAAAAGGTTGGGAGGCTTCAGTCAGCAGCACCTCACAGCAAAACAGGAGCTTGGTCAGCAACATTTTTCTCTAGACAGACACACGCACAGGTTTAAAACTCCTCTGCAAGGCACAAGCACACCCAACTGATCAAGGCAATTAATGTTATTTCACTTCATAAAATTTTTGCAATCGGTGACTCCTCTAGGAAACAACTTTTACGTAACTTGTTGAATCTCCTAGGAATCCTTACCTGGATTCTGAAGAGTTTTTGGTTTTGCCCATTACAATTGCAACTTTGCAGTTTGGGTTCCCAGCACCTTAAAAAGTCAGAAACACATCGTTTTCAACATAAAAATTTCAATGTAGAAACAAAGTTCCATACAATAAATCTTACTCCCTTCCTTTTGTGATACAGGAGAAAAAGCATGCAATCTACTTCTGTGTTTATACTCTGAGTAATCAGACTGAAACAAAATACATCCTATTGCTTAACATGTAAAAGGGAGTTGACTTGTCATGAGGGGAACAATGAAAAGTCAAATATCCAAACCCTCCGGGATCCAGCTCCATCATCTATTCCTATGAAAAGAGAACAAGAAGGTACTTGAAATGGAATCTAATTACTTCTGTCTCCATTACAGCTAAGCAAATAAGTGTGATACAAAAGCACACCTCAAGGCAAAATGCTGCCTTTTCAAAAGTAACGTTTCTTAAAACTATAAAGACTAGAGGATCTGTGTGGGAATGAAATGCCGGCCACATTATAACGAAATTCTGCAAATAAGGCGATCAAAGGGTTACCATGATGACTTTGCTACTACTTCGGTATAACTTCTCCAGAAGGAAGGTTTATTCCCCTTTATGCAAATGATTTTAGTTTGCACTTCAAAGAAAGATCTGAGTGGAAATCATTACCTGAAAATAATCTGCTGGCATTTCAAGCCATTGGTAACATGCATAAAGTTAGCATTTTAATGTACAAGTCCTAAAGAAGATTCTACCATTAATTAACGTGGCATCTTATTTCTAAGAGCCTTAATCCTTGCTACCTTTTTCTTTAAAGGTTTCTTAGTACCAAAGCATGCTCTCATTCCTCTCAAAGTCTCACACAGACAATAAAGTTACAGAAAAGGAGGCAGGATTATACTTGACGTATGTAACAATCAGTACATTTTTGACTGCTATCTCAACGCAGATGACAAGCTTCTCCGAGATTTAATTCAAGGTCTGATCTGCACCAACTCAGTTTGTTTTGAGGTCAGAAACAAAGACGACTTTTTAACTTATCTGGCAGTTGTTATCACAAGGTTTGGGAGCCTCTGGTGTAGACAATGCAACCACCTGGCTTGGAGCTGAGATACTTCCTCCTAACAACAGCCACTGTGATGGCCGGGAAGCGGGAGATTTATTTTGTTCTGATAAACACTGCCCGCTTTGAGGGCCAGACTGCTAGCTGTTTACTTTCCTCTTTTGCAATATGCTATTCATCCATTGTTTTCAAAGTGGGGTTATATTTGTGGCCCATGAGCTGTACAATGCTAACGAGCTAAAATATCTAAGTGAAAAAGCTGAGAATAAATCAACTTGGTAAAAAAACCCAAAAGGTAGATCTGAAACAACTGGCTCATTTCAGCAACTGCAACAAGTGGGTGACCAACCCCAAAAGAACACAACATATGCTTTGCAATGTACTACCCTGCAAAGAGAAATGCTACATCCTTAAGGGGTATTCGACTCTTCTCCTTTTCCACGGAAAGTAAAGAATTGCACAATTAGTATTTTCTGAACCACATTTATCTTGAAGTGAGGTTTACAACAAAAGATACTTTGACTTTCTGGAATCTCCTCAAAAACTGTTTTGTAAACGATCCTCAAGTCAAAACATCCCTGATTCAAAAAAAGGCATATTTTACCATGTTATATGAAAAAAAAACAATCAGAAGAAGCTTTCATGTTGAACTTAGTGAGGAGTTCACTGAGAGCTAGACATCTGGTTAGATACTCTAAATCACTAGTACAAGTTTCTGGAAGGCAGACGAGTACCTCCATTTCGTATGTGCTTTTTCCCATCTGAACACAGCAAAGAAAGGCAGATTCCTGGCCTTTCCACTCCTTAGGGTCTGAAGTTCTGCAAACCAGAAACAAATTTTATGCAACTTTGACCCACAAACACCAGAAATAAGTTCTGGTCTAATGCAAGTCTCTGAAAGACTCCAGTGCTTTGAAAGAAATGCAGACTGTCTGGATGGAATACAGCTCTCATTTGTAAATGGCATTTTTACATTACTTACAGAATTCAAAGAAGCTGCTGGAAGATGGGGGGAGAAGAGCCAAAGAAGCCTGTCATTTTGGCAGGAGTTAGAAGTAATTTTGCAAGAAACTCACAACTGAACAAATAGAAATACTAGAGATTTTAGAAGATCGGTATGAAGCATATTTCCATATTGGTAAGCTTTTTAATATATACGTATGCACAACCTGTCCAAAACTTTTAAACCACAATGCTGCCACGTTGGGAAACATCATAAATTTAACTAATGTATTATATTTTTTAACTCTTCTTGGCAATCATATAGGCAAAGAGAGTATTTTAAAATGTACTTAGAGGGTCGATCATAGTCCTTTTAGAAGCCTAATCTTTTCTACCAGGGGATGTAACGTGCTTAAGATTACTGATCTTCACACAACCAACTTACGCAGGTTCCTTCTGGTGGAGACTACTAAATGTGGCACAGACACGGACAGTAGAACCTTTACTTAAAGAAGCTGCTAGTTTCAGAAGCAAATAGCACTTAATTCTTGCAATCTAGTTACCTATTTTTCAGTGCCCAGTCTTCAAATTTTTGGCTAAGATGACTAAGGCAGGATAATCTACTACTTGAATGTTCGGAATACCTCTGACTCCTTCTTGCCATGTTGGCTGCTGCACCGGTGAGCCCGGTGGGTTATCACTCTGCTAAAGATCAGGGGTCTGTGGTGACATTACAGACTTGGCAGCTTCCTAGAAAGACACTGATAAACACATCCTGGACTCTCCTACAAGCAGAAACCGGACTGAGTAGGGTGGGTGGCAGTGTAGTATTGACTGTTGTAATATGGGGATCCTCTAATGGAGAAAAAGGGACCCCCCAATAGCCTGCAGTAATTTCTATCCACTAGCATAATGTATTCCACAGTTTTATCTCGTCTTCTCCAGATAACACTGCTGGGCATCTGGTAAAGATTATAATGGAGCAGCGAACAAATTGGCTACAACCAGTAACAAGAGAGACAATGCTGGGGCTCTGCAGCTGATCAGCAAGGGCTACGCAGCCCTGCCACTGAATGTGGCTGCCCGTCGTTCCCAGTTAGAGCTCACAGTCTCAGACGGCGCCAGTGAGAGGAGCTGCTGAGTTTGGGAATGGCTTTTTTCCTCACCTTCATCCAACTTTTATGCAGCCACAAGCACTTCTTAGTTAAACAAGATCCACTGCCATTTTGCATTCAGTCTTATTTACGAAATAATTTTTGTTATTTTTGAGCCTATGGGGCCATACTGAAATGTAGTATTACACAACAGTATTATTTCTGTACCCTGACTGGAAAGTTCTGTCCTCCCTGCAAAGTTATGAGGAGCTGAGGCACTCTAACAAACGGCACAGGATTTACATGAACTGCCTTCCCACAGCCTGCCCACAGGAGACCTCTTAGGCCCTGGTAACACAACCATCTGTTCTGTAGGCAACACACAGAGATATTTCCCTGGGAGCTTTCTCATTTCTAGCCTGATTCTTCTATCTTGTCGGGGACCATATTGAGACAAAGCCCATTCAGAACTGAGTTTCACTTATTTTAAAGAGATATAGCTCACTCAGGCCTCTAAGCAACAACACGACTTGTGAGAAGCAGATCTGCTGGAAGCAACCTAAATGTCTTATCTGCCACTGTGAAGAACACCAGTGAAGTACTGTGATAACTCAAGATGAAAACATTGCAGAAATATGCACAAATATTGCAGCACTCTTTCTCCAGATTCCAATTCCTCCTCCAACCCGTTTTTCTTTCTCATTCTGAATGCAAATGAAGGTAGAAGCATGTGGAAAACATCTGCCCATTACATTCTTAGCTGTCCATTTTGAAGAACCTTTCCTTTCACATATTCCAAAACAGCTGAAGCACAGGCAGATGGCTAATCCAGGCATGGAAGGTGTGTCAATTTAGTCAGTGTGCCAAAAAGCAAAACCTGACCTCTGGTCTGCTCAAAATCCCTCTCTGTTGTTTGGCATCAATATTGCATTAACTGAAGCTCATTAGACTGCTACAGGATAATTCAAACAAAATCAAAAGCTCTGGAAGATCATGGAAGGCTCCTGATACTCTGTACAAGGTACTGCTACACAAGAGACTAATTTGAAGCTGTAGAGACTGTGGAATTTTAAGCAAGAAGATCCAGTCATTTTAGGAATTCTTAGCACAGGTAAGTCTGTTCCACAGTGCAGAAATACTAATGTCTGCATGTGGACAGCAGAAGTTCTCCATCTTCCCTTTCCTGTAAAAGTTTTAACTCTTTATAATGCAGACAGCACACTGCAAGTGGAAGAAACCTCATGGATAGAATAGCACCCTTCTGTTTTTCTTCTATAGTATCTGCCTGGCTTGCCGTTTCTGTAGAAATCTTATCAAACACCAACTTGATTATGAGTCTGACTGGTAACATTCCAGTCCCTGAGAACTCTCCCACAGGGTGCAGGACTATCTGCTCATATTCTGGTTAACAATTTACCACTTTCACATCTTTTCCCTATCATCTTCCTGGTTTTGTTCAGTATCATATACTGAAAGAGCAACTTCCCGCATCTCACAAAAAGCAAACTCATCTTTCTACTGTATCCTCTAAAAAGTTACTTAAGAAGGGGATATAAGGGTCCCTTAAAACCTTATGTATGAAGCCATCAAAAGCACAGCAGTTCCCCGAGGCAAGAATACAGTGACTCCCTGCAGGTAACTCTGCCTCAGACATACCTCCCCCTATTTCTCTTCTTTTCACCTTTTAAATGTGTGATTTGATAAAAGCCTTTGATGATGTAAAAACACACACCTGGACTTTCAGGAATAAAACGACGAACACCACAGTGAAATAATAAGAGAGTCTTGACCTTCCAAAAGTCACGTTCTCGTTGGAACAGGGGGGAATGCAGGAAATGTACGTGTTCAACATGAGAAGAGTTTCCAGGAAAGCAGAATTTATTTATTTATTTTTTTAACTGACAAGTCAGAATGAAAGCGCAACTGACTTCCAGATGAGGGTGTGGTGCTTGAAGACAAAATATAATGTGTCAGACCAATTCAGATCATTTCACTGAAGCACATCTCAATTGCAGTACCTGCTACTAGTCTCCTGACAAAAGGTTAGTTTTGTTTTATTATTTACTGCTCTGTATATTAAGTGTGAGATCTTATTTACATACAGAAGAGTTAGGATTTACTCTTAGATAAACTGCCTTTACAGAGAGATCATTTCACTGAGGTACGTGCTCATTTCCAGTCTTAAAATTAGACTTGTTCAGTAGAAGAATAGAATACTGCTTAATTCATAAAAGAAAAAAAAAAAAATCTGTCTGTTTAAACTGGGGATATTAACTGCATTCAACATGTATTCACATACTCCCACGTCAAGTTTAAACACACAGAAACACTGAATTTGTATCTAAATGGAAGGCTGGAATAATCCTGCATGAAAATATTCAAAGCTGTCTGTTATTTCTATTAATATACCTCCTAGAAAACAGTACTGGAAAAAACAGCTGAGGTTCTGAGCTGTTTGGGTACTTGTGGTCAGCAGTGTATGTTTTAAGATTCCTTTCTGCCATAACATCCTGAGAAGCCTCCAGCTGTAAAGACGCAGCGCACCCACAGCAATTTGATTCTGTAAGAAATTCCACGTGGGCATGAGGCAGCTCGCAGGGGGGGATGGAGGCTAAACTCAGCCTGTTCCACCACCGCGCAGCACCTGACCCCCGTGGGACTGCTCTGCCTTGTCTAACGGGCATGGGTACGTGTGCCTGAGAAACATTAACAGGAATGATAAATATGAATTGGTACGTTAGTCAAAACGTAACTGTGCTTTTTCAGGGAGAAATATCAACTGTTGCATTTTAGGTAACTGTTTCCATCAAGAGCTCAGGTCAGCCAAATGCGTATCAGAGAGCGGAACACGTTCCTTGTCACAGCCAAACCAGCTTTGTGATATACAGACTTCTTGAAGTTTGCACTGAAATGTTTATCAGTTTGCTTTCAAGCAAATTTGTCGGTGATCTAACTTGATTAAGCATTCTCAGATGGATTCCGTAGTGGTTGTGGTCTAAAACACTTACATCTTTTCACTTTAACTTTTAATTTTCTTCTAATCCTGGCTAAGCGGATTAAACAACCCCTGCAGCAGTGCCTCTTCTACTTAAAAAAAAAAAAAAAAAAAAAAAAAGTGTATATATACACATTTTCTGCTGATGTCTGAATCTCTCCTCAAAGTACCATAAAGCTGCAAAGGATTACCCCTGCTGAAAAATCCTGCTACCACAGCTTGTTAGGAATAGACATCCCCTGCCAAAGTAACAAATTTTTCCATTCTGCACACCTCATTTAGGCAACAGTAAATGACAGATTACAAGATTTAAAATAAGAGTAATCACTATTTAAAGTTTAATGGGAAGTGTTTTGAAATGTTAACAAAATAATCCAACAAAGTCATTAAGAATGAAGCCAAACCAAATAGTTAACTTCTAACTATCACACTTTTTTTTAAAAAATGTAGAAAGCAGACTCACTGAAAAAAAAAGAAAATCAAGAATCAAGCAAAAATATAAATTATTCAATTATCTCTATTTGGTTGGTCTGCATCCCTGAATGAGATCAATTAGTAACTTATTTTGCCTGGTAGACAGAATACATAAAAAAAAAAAATTAAGAGATACTGTTTATAATAAAGGTTTGACAACCCTTCATTTAAAGCCTTGTCTAAAAAAAACCAGAAATGGTATTTGGAATTTTTTCAAGCTCGATAAAACCAAATTGTAGCTCTGGGGCAGAGTATCAGATAAGAAACATTTCAGTAACATTGGCCTCAAATTCTGAAACACTGCAGATGACAGAAAAGGGGATGTGTTTTTCTTTCTCAGCTACTTTCTGATACTGCTGTTAAGAAATGTTAATCCCATTTATTTCAAGAAAATGGCACTGCAGGACTGTAGTTTACAACAGAAAGAATTTCAGCAAATTAGTCAATGAGCACAATTACAGAAAAAAAAAGAAAATACTGTAGGACATGACTTGCTTAAGACACAAACACTCAAACTTCTACCCCAAGCCGGCAGTGAGAATACAGACTCAGTGTTTATGGAGTAAATCTGTCATCAGATGGTATTTGGAAAAACAGCAGAGCTTCTGAGCTGTTTGGGTAGTTATGGTCAGTTTTGTTTGAGATAAGATTCCCTTCTGTCATAACATCCTGACAAGTCTCCAGCTATAAGATGCAGTGTACCCACAACAATCTGATTCTGTAAGAAATTCCATGTGGGCATGGCTTGCTGTGTGGGACAGAGACTAAACTAAGCCTGTTCCACTGCTATTCAGCAACTGACTCCACTGCTGTGCTTTATGTAATGGGCACAGAGATCTGTGCCTGAGACACAAACAAGCACCTTCTCCCTACAATATACTCATAGCCCAAATTTGCCAAAATTTATGACAATAGGCACAGCATACTCCTGCTTGCCTCTCAGCTTTAACCTGTTAGTATTCCTTATCCACTCTATTGTAATACCATTTACAGCCTTCAACTATACTCCTTTGCTTTGCAGAAGCCATAGAGAGGAAGGTGTCATTTCAAACCTAGAAAAGCACAGAGCAATGTATTTTTCAATGGAATAATGTCAAACATAACTGAGATGCGGCAGTTTAAGCAACGATGGCTCCTCAGCTAAAATATGGAAACCTGTGAGGTATACTCCAAGCATCTTGCAATCTCAAAATCTCTAATGAAAGCATTTCAGTTGAATCGATTTTTACTTTGCATTGCACGCACAGATGTAGTTACCCCATTTCATGTGAGAATTTGAGACTGTCTGTTCTGCCTCCATCACTACCTAGGCTCTACTTTATTTACGAATGTATTCTCAACATCCAACTTCTTTAAACTTAAGATGTATAAGCAGCCCTGAGCAAGGGGTTTAGGTTTCAACAGAAATTTAAAAACTTAAATCTAGTATTATTTTTTGGTGTTCCCTTCTCCCTTTTTTTTTTTGTGCGTGTGTGTGTCTTGCAGCTTTGCCATGCGCTGGAATATGAATAACTCAACTGATTACTGGATTGAGGATGACGAGGATGATCCCAACTCTGTTATAGATTACAATGCGTATGAGCTTCTCTGTGAAAAAAGCGATGTGAGAAATTTCACTAAATTATTCCTCCCGGTGTTCTATGCATTGGCTTTCACTACTGGAGTTGCTGGAAATTCATTAGTGGTTGCAATTTATGCCTACTGCAAGAAACCAAAGACTAAGACGGATGTGTACATCATGCATCTAGCCATTGCTGATTTGCTCTTGCTCTTTACACTCCCTTTTTGGGCTGCAAATGCAGTGCAGGGATGGGAACTTGGAAACTCAATGTGCAAGCTCACCTCTTCTCTGTACACCATGAATTTCAGCTCTAGCATGCTGTTCCTGGCCTGTATCAGTGTGGATAGATACAGGGCTGCTTCTGAATCCCGGCGTCATACAAGAATTTACTGTAAACACTGCAGTGTTACCTGCATCTGTGTCTGGCTGGCTGCCATTTTCCTCAGTATCCCTGAACTGGTATTTAATCAAGTCAAGAAACACAATGACAGGAATGAATGCCTTCCTGTGTTTCCAATGAACATGGAAACACTCTTAAAAGCAACCATTCAAATCCTGGAAATTATCCTGGAATTTCTGCTTCCTTTCCTAGTAATGCTGATCTGCTATTCAGCTACTGCTCGAGCAATCTTTAGATCTGCAAATGCTAAAAAATCTAGACCTTTCATGGTTTTGCTGGCAGTAGTGGCTACTTTCATTATGACCCAGCTACCTTACAACATTGTTAAGTTCTGGCGAGCCATAGATATTATCTACATGTTGATTACTGACTGTGATGCAAGTAAAACCATAGATGTTGCACTCCAGGTCACCAAGAGTATAGCTTTGTTTCACACCTGCCTGAACCCTCTTCTCTATGCCTTTCTGGGTGCCTCTTTTAAAATGCATGTTATGAAAATCGCAAAAAATTATGGATACTGGAGAAGACAACAACAGAATAGAAGACCTGAAGAAATTTCTATGACTTTTGAAGACCATACTGAGGAAACAATTAGTTTCACTATATAGACTCTTCATTACTTTCATTATCTTATATAACCAAGGGAATTATTTACTAATTCTGGGGGTATTATTTCAGCAGCTGTTTCTCTGCAACTCAGTTTTTAGATGAATTTCTGAATCTGCAGACTAGCCAAGACACTACAGTGCAGTTCAAAGTGGAACATGTTGATCAAAATTAAGCATCAGGCAAGAACTAAATACTGAAAATCCTAGAAACAACTAGAGATATTTACTTAAAAAATACCCAAACAAAAAACAAAACAAAAAAAAAAAAAAAAAAAAAAAAAAAAACACCACACCCACTACAAAACCCAAACACGTAAAAACCCCAAGATTTAAGTGTCACAGTACTAGGCAATTAAATATCTGTCTAATGAACGATCTGTACATGTCTAAAAACCAAATTAAGACAGAAAAAGAAACCATCAGCAATAAAACAGCAGTACAGGAAGTTTTGCACAAGAGGTTAATAATCTTGTGTTTCTCCAACTATTTTGTAAAACTTTAGAACGTTTGCCTAATAAGTCAGTTCCATTTTTTCCCTCAGCTATCATTCCATAGATGCTCCTGCAGATTGAAATGTGGTATAAGTTCATGGTTGAGAATCCAGAGAGAGAAATAGTGGAGAAAAAAAGCCATTCTCTATGTGTTTCCACATATGTATTGCAACAATATCCTCCACAAAATACAGTAACTCCTTCTCTGTAACTACCAAAAATGACCTTTCACCTCTCCTTTTCCACTCACACTAAACTTCAACAAGCCCAGTGCCCTGTGGGAGGCACATTCTAGATCTCTGTAAATGCAAAAGCATTAGCAGAAATGTAAGAAAAAGTTAAGTTAATCTTCAGATACAGGACCTGGAGTTTCCAGTCAGAATTTGTAAAATGATCAAACACTGCAATAACTGAATTTGCTAAAATACATGGAGATAAAATAAAATCGAAGAAAACAAGAAGTGCACTGCCTTTCATTTATTCTTATCTTTGTTTTGTTTTAGTAGGTACTGACACGTCTCATCATAGGCATTTATCCACCAGCAAAGGCTAGAGGCCTTGTTTGATGAACGAGGGAGGTTCTGACTCCATACAGAGCTCATGGTTGGTAGGACTTACAGATTTTCCATGGAGAAGTACCAAAGCCGTCCCCAGCCACAGTGCTGGCGAGGATTCCAGAAAAACAGCAGTCTTCCATGAGTCTCTGGAAGTATTTAAAATATACTGACATACTAGCTTTCAAAATGAAAAAAAAAGGTATTGCGGAATACAGCCCCTGACTTCAGGCATCCCATGGGCTCTGACAAAATGCCTCATCTATGGCTTATGAGAGCCAACAAGAATCTCTCATTTTTAGACACCATTCCTAGTTACATAATTGTGGACTGGAAGAAAAAAGCTCTAAAACGACACACAAGAAACAACAGTAGCATAAACAAGACACGAGCCTCTTCCCCCTGTTTGGATGACAAAAGCTTACAGAATTTCTGCCCAGTATTTTGAGAAATACTAGGGTGTGAACGGATAAATCAGAAGTGCTTGACAGATGGTCTACACGTACACCATAAATCTGACACATTTAAGCCATACTGGATTTACTGCAGACAGGCAAAGCACCCATGCAGAGCATGGTAAGAAACCCCAGTTCTTCCATGAAGCAACTGACTCCTTGCATGTGTGATTTATGACTTGTCTTCACGAATACAGTGGTTGCACCCAGACTGACATTCTGACTAGGCTGTCAGGCTTCTGGAATTCCAAAACAACCAAAGCCCAAATGACTCTGACTAAGACAGAGCTGCATGTATGTGTTTCTCAAACTTCTTGAAATTGCAGCAGCTTTTACGCATCTGTTCTTACGCAAATCTGACTGTCCTAATTATTTTTATTAGAAATAAACCAAACCAAATCATGCTTACTCTCTTATGTTTACTCTCCTCAGAATTCACATAACTAATTTTAGGAATAATATTTGTGTTTGTGACCTCCTACATTACTTCCTCAGGAACTGTAACGCACAGTTGGGAGATGCTGACCCAAAGCAAACGGAGCAGCCAGAAGTTAAGCGACACTGTCAGGTCAAGAGACAAGATACCATGCCTCCTTTTGCTGCCAGTTTTGCAGTACTAGAAAAGAGAGTCCTATCTTCTGGTGAGACTAGGTATTGCACAAGCATGTATCAGGTAGCTGCCACACTCAAAGGTACATAGATGAAACATTCAAGTTCCACTCCACTTAGCAACTCACGTTTATTTAGTTGGCTTCCAAACTCCCAGAGAATGAGGATTTTCAAGTTGCTGTCACATATGTTTTGTTAAAAAAAGTTACAGTACCACAATATTAGGGACATTTACCACTTGAAGTACAATCCATTGATTTTTCTGGTAAGTATAGTGTAAGAAGATTACCTATAACAGCTGTTCCAACAGCATCACAGACTACTTCAGAAAGCAGTCAAATCTGAGTAACTACAGAGTATACTCAAACCTCACACAAAAGCTGCCAAAGACAGCTTCATAAAAACAAAGCTTACAGGCTACAGCCATAAACATGTAAGTCACCTGATGGAAAGAGGTAACATTTAAAGAACAACAGCAGCATTCATTCTGTGAACGAAATTCAGGGGTTTCAAAAAGGGCTCAAAACCCTAAATTGGATTTGAGTCTTGGACTTTCTGTCATAGAACAAAAGCTTGATTTTGCTTTTTCCATTGTTTTACATTCTATTGCCTTTACTCAAGTAGAGACAATTTTCCATCTCAGAAACGGAGCATAAATACTTTCGCTTTATCAGTTCTCACAAAGAATTTTAGACTTAGCCATTCTTACTTAGGGTTTCTGTACTTACCACTGCTCCACCACTTCTTGCCATTAATCACGTAAGTGTTCCCATCTCGCTCAATGCTGCATTGCATATTGGTGGCATCACTTGAAGCCACATCAGGTTCTGTGTCAAAGAAAAAACCAAACCACTGGATTGAATATACAGGTAGTGCTACCTCCAGAAATATAGGGATCTAGATATATTTTATTGACATTAAAACTGTTTTGCTCCCAGGACAAAAGCTGTTTTCAGAACCTCACTCTGCTGGTAGTCAAAGGCTTTCTATTTTCCAACAACCTGTTATTCACAGCTCGTTTAAACTTACTTGTTCTTCGGCTCAGACTACCCTTTACAGTTAACAGCCTTCTTCCTTCCCTTTTTAAATCCTTCCCCCTTCCAATGTACTTATAGATAAGTCATTCCTCTCCTCAGCCTTTTTCTACCCTAGGCTCTTCTTAAGTGAAAATAAAGAGATTTAAACTACTTTTGTGATGGTTTATGAAATAGGTTACAAAAAGTTCCCAGAAAAATGTCATCAGTGATTGTTTGGAACAGGAGTCTTCCTCTCTCCTTTCACCCTTAACTTCTTCTATGGGCCATCTTATTTAAAGCAAAAGTATCTCTTTCCTCTCGGGGAACACAGTGAAACAGAATTTGCAAAATAAGGGTCCAGCTCTGCAAGGCTGAGTTCTCTCGACTCCTGCTGACTCAGCAAGGTCAAGATTTTGACATCACATGTTCTAAAGCCATCTTCCTATATCAAGAGCCAGGCTTTCCAGAGGTGCTGAATGTCATGAGCATTCAAGAACAAAAATGAATACAATGCTGAGCTACAGACATAAAGAAGGTGCATTGTATGTTTTGCAAGTTACCTTCAGCTTATGTCTTAACACCTCTACCTACGACATACTGCAAAACTACACAACTTTAATCAAATGAATCAGACTTGTCCCTAATTGTATGTTTCTAAAGAACCCAAGCACATTACAAAATAGGGTAAGTTCTATTCTAAACCTGTTTGGTACAATGAAATATATTTTAGTATTACTAAAAGTAAATTGAAAATATATGGAAAACAAATACTAATTATTGTAACCATCAAAAATGGTAACAATTGGAGAAGGGCAGCAAGGGCGCTTCACTTTGCATTCACACCTCATAGGTGATTTCATATTCAAACATGTTCGCAGATACAGAGGAAATTTCTGTATTAATTCATTCACACATAACAACTTGTAGTTTTGTACTTTTTGCATATGCCATGTGAAATTTCTGCCAATTGCCTCTGACTTTCTTCTGGAGAAAAATGTACCTGTCATGCAGAAGCAAGAACTGATTTTCCCTTCAAGGAGAGGCTCCAGCCACTCTTTCTTTTGCTCTTCAGTCCCATACATGTGCAGGACCTCCATGTTTCCAGTGTCTGTAAGGAATCAGCAGTCATGATTGAGATATGCAACTCAAAGTGTAAGATGCCCAACTTCTTAATGCTCTCACTGTTGTAGTAATGGGACAGGCTTGCTAACCTGGTGCATGACAGTTGAAAACTTCAGGAGCAATGAAGCATTTCCCAGTCTCCTCAGCTATCAGCGCGTAGTCAAGCTGGCTGAGACCACTGACATCTGGGAGAAAAAGGTTCCACAAACCTTCTGCTTTGGCCATCTCCTGTTGAAAGAATCAAGAGACAAAAACATTAGCAATAAAACTTAACAAAAAAAAAAAATTTCTGGCTTGCTGCCCATTTTCTTTCTTCCTGCCTAACATCCTGTCCAATACATGACGCCTTTTTTGCAATAGCTATTTTCAATAGTACAGCCTTTGACTTAAAGTTCAGACATACCCCTCACAGAACTCACTCCTGCTTTCCTCCTCTCCCATTTGTCTCTCTCATCTTCTTTTACACAATTCCATCTTCCTTTCCTTTCACAGTTCCTCACACTGTTTCTTTCCATGCAGAGTAACTTCTCCAGCAAGATATGCCAAACATTCTTACACTCTGTGTCAGTGCCAGTTTATTTTACTGCTACAGTGGTCAAGAATATTTACTATACCATACCTTCAGTCTCTCAAGCAGTGGTGGTTTCTTCCATTTTTCCCCCGTATTTCCATGTCCAGCATAGTATTTTATTATTTCCTTAGAGAAACAATAAGATGCTGTTTGAATTAAGAACACATGTAACAGGCACAAGTAATAGTATGATGTCTTTTTCAGCCCTACACCCCAAGAAAGCAATATAAAAATATTTAACAGTTTTTTATGACATAGTCAGTTGCATTATAAAACTAAAAACACAGTGGAAAAATCAAACAGCAATCTGTTCATTTTGCAAGACTTTAAATGGAGAGGACCCCAATCAGTGCCTTATTTCATACAGGGAAGTGATAGGAGGTGGTTTAAAATACGTGATGATTACAGTGTAAGTTCAGTGTTTTCTGATGATACAAGTAACTGTTACCAACAGTACACACAAGAGCCTTGAACCCAAAAGTAAAACAACAAATAAAAGCGTGATGTACTGACACTTAAGATCCAGGCTTCCCATCAAAACATTCAGATATATAAGCCAGTTAATCTTTTTTTTACTAAGGAAAAACCACAGAGAATACATTTTCTTTTCCTGTCAAATTAATTCCTTAATGGATTATGTAAGCAGTCATTCTGAGCACCAGTGAATAGTACTAAGTAAAACTGTGTATTCAGTAATCTTAGTATCTTCACAAGCATATTTTAGTGAGGCACGACACTTCAAAGCTGGCCCAAAACTAGTTTTAGAACAAATAAAAGTAGTGCCCTCTTCTGAGAAATTACACAGTCAGACAAATTCCGAAGTAGAATTTACAAGTCCTGTTTCACAATCCGTGTTATCAGAAATAACTTACAAGCCCAACACTACTCATCTGCAAAACTTGCACGGCTCTTTGTGGTCCATTTGTTTTTAAAGCAAGTACTTTAATTATTGCAAGGCTTTCTCGGACAATCCAAAACTAGTTTCAGACAAACTTTTAAGAAACTTTGCCTATCAAGAGTTTCTGCTCTCAATTCCTCCTTGTGATAGGCAGATGCATTCATAAATCTTTTAGATTAGTATGTTCTCTGTATTTCTGCCTGACTGCAAAAAAAAAAAAAAGAAAAAAAAGC